TTAGATCAACATTTTGTTACAGGTTTCAGTTCTTCATCAGTTTGGTTACAATAGTAACACTTTTAGAATAGAGAGATCCATTTTATGTCAGAGTGACAATACCAAAGGAAGGAAAGATAGGAAGAAATATTGGGAACAGGTTACCGATGCCAAGTTGCCATGCCGAAAAAAAGTCAAACTGTAAAAATGCTGTGTACTAGCATGACCGCCACAGCCACAGAATTTTGAAATTTCCTGACAAAAGAAGAATTTTTTTCCCTTGATCATTAATTTTCCTGACCTTTGTCTTGCTAGTCACTTGGCTGAATAGAGCAATTATTAAAAAAATGCACCACCCTGTTGAAGACAACTACAATTGCAGGGTGAGTCCCTTTTGAGGATGCTCATGAGTGGAATTCCGGAGTATTTAAGCGAAAAAGAATTTCACATTGCTTGTTAGATTTTTCATTGGAATTCTAGGTTTGTCAGGGTCAACAAAAAAGTCAAGTTTGTGTGACTAAAACTAGAAACCTTGTTAGGGAGGTTTTAATTTTTTTGTCATATGTACTTCTAAAAAATATTATCCAGACCTCCCCCACAGAGGGGATTTTTCCTGACCCCCTCCCAACACTCTGGAAATTGCAATTAAGGTTCATACATTTCCTTGAAGTTTTTGGCCTTTGAGATCCCCCCATCCCCAAGAATTTTCAACCCTTTCTTTAAGCAGAGTATGACATTTTCTGGAACTACACAATGCCAATTAGGTTGTAGCCTTGCTTCTGCAGTCCTACAAATGTAAGATGACAAAAAGCTTAGGGAGTTTTTTTAATGTGAAATTGAGAAGAACATTGGCATGCCATCCACAAATGCCAATATTAAATAACAGACCACTTTTTCACAATCAAACAGTGATTACCGGGATAACATGTTTTTACAATTAAATAATTCATAAGTAGTCTTCCATAATCCTCCAAATTCCATTCAAACAAGCTATGATTGTATTTACAAGAAGTTCCACATTCACCTGAGAAAGTTTTACTTTGGCATTGTTACATTGTTTGGAACTAAAAATTAGAAACTAGGTTCTCTTAATAATGTTGTAAAAAACTTTGCTATTTGTTGTTCACAAAAGTAAATTAAATATAAATGGAGAGCTTTAACTTTGCTTCCCTTGTTCATTTTCTTAGCAACTCTGGCTAATGTCCTTGCAAAGAGACTTCCCCTTTGTTTGCTTCATTTTGATCTTGCTTTTCTCAATCACATCCTTTGTGAAGGAGAATGAGTGTACCCATACATACAAAGTCATAATGCCATGCAATACATCTTTCATCAGTTATGATCAATCCATAGTTAGAAAGAACATCACTATCACTAGTAGCTTTGAGAGTTATTGTAACAGTTTCAATTCCTAGTGAAACCACTCTTGGAGCTGGCTCTGTAATTGACCATAGCCCACCACGGTTCTATTACTTGAAATCAGATTTTGCATGCTTTG